GGTGTCACCCAGAGTTCAGCAACTGTACGGGCTATCACATATGGGATGACAAGGAAAGGAGGGCAAGAGAGAGGATTGACAAAGAGGGGCAGAAGGAACAAAAGGAGGCAGGACTGGAAGAACTGCCTGGTTGGGATGATTAAGCCACCATTCATTCCTTGTCCTCCATTGCTGTGTCTTAGCCTATGATTTCTGAATGGCATCTATAAGTGTTTAGCTCAGTAGCATCCATGTCACCCAGGAGGCTGTTAGACACCCAGAATCTAAGACTCTGTTTCAAACCTACAAAATCTGTCTACATGTCAATAAGTCCCCAGTGTTTCTTGTGCACATTAATTTTGAAGATGCAAAATTCTGTTGTGAGAAATTCAGATAGATAAGTTCAATGTATCGACAGGTGCCATTCAAACTAGTAAAATCATTGCTTTTTAATGTAAGCATTCTAGTACTATTTTAATCTAAGATTAGGTAATAATGATCCTTTTTTGGGGTCAATTTAATTCTAAAAATTAGAGTATCTATTGATGATTTCATGCTATCTACCAATAAGCGCAGACCAAAGCAGAAAATATACTTTGCCTTTAAACAATTGAGGCATTGGAGTTTGGGAGATGAACATAACAGCAGGTCATCCAATTTCTCTTTCCTTTTCTACATAATGCCAAAATAGCCATATAAAAATGAAAGACCAAAATATTGAGTTATGTCTTTGTTCTGCATATATAATATGCATATTTGGGAAACATCCTGTGTATGAATTGTTTAATTTTTACTTATTTGTAAGAACTTCGGTCATCACATTCAAGAAAGAATAATAAAACAAGAAAAATCTAATCAGTCAACCATTTAAAGTTAACAATCTAAGCTTATACAAAAGTTTATTCCTTGCAGAGTTCAACAAAAAGAGGCTACCTTTCCAGCATCTCTGCCTCCTCTCCCTCTCATCTGGCTACAAGTCCCAGTATGTTTCTATTGTAAATTCAGAACAATTGAGAAACTTCCTGCTCAGATAGCTCTCATTTTCATCTGATCCCAATTTTCCCACCAAACACTCAGACCACCCATGACAAACAAACAAAATTACTAAGCAGAGCTAATTTTGTAATGGAAACAGTTTGTACACAAATGTGTGAAAGGCAGAAATTTCTATGCATCTTCTCTGTTAGAATGCAAGTTGGAGGCCAAGTTAGAATCTTAAGCTGATGATTTATTTTCATGTCCAATATGCAGAACACTTTACAGCCACCCTCGTTTTACATTCTGGGGACACAGAAAGTTGGTGCTGTTCTTCAGTTGCATTGAGTTTCCAGATGTCTGACAATTTTGCAGAAATAAAAATAAAATATACACATTATTTATATATATTAACAGAATAACAGTACTTATTGCACCTTCTTCATTGCATTATTGTAAATATCATATATAGCAGCGGGGGTTAAAAAGATTTGGGATATATCAAGTGCTGTGTGAATTTAAAAAGATTGCTATTGGCAAATACATTTTCTTAAAGATACTTTGGAATTTATAATATGGCCTGTATTCTGTGTTCATTTAATAATATGTATTTAGGATGTCCATGATCATAAAATGAATTTATTGGTATCAATTTTATTTTATTTCATTTTATTTTCTTACCAGAAGATGATGGAGTGAGGTTAAGCAAGATTGTAGGCAAACAGGACATCTAGGGGGCATGCTTATTATTTAGATATGAAAGCCTGTGTTCAGGAAGGAACATTTAAATGTTAGTTCCAGGTGTTTGTCTTTGTTTTTCTGTTGGATAGTGGTACTGTTCACTGTGATGGGGAACATTCAGAGTTACTCAATTTGAGGAAGAGATGATGAATTTGCTGTTGGATTTGTTGGGTTTTGGGTACTGGGATTGAGAAATGCCAGGGGAAGGATGTGGGATCTAGAGTTATGGTGCTCAGGAGAAAGATCCAGGCTGCAGATAGGAACATGGGAATCATCAGCGTAGAGTTGTAATTAAACCCATGGAGATGAAGGAGTTCACCAAGAGTCTGCAGAGTGAGAAGAAAATATGCCTTCTAGAAGATGCTGAAAAATACAAATACATAAAGAGACAAGAAGAAGACAGCACAGCTCCAAAAGGGACAGGAAAGATAGGAAGAAAATCAGTAATACATGACGCCCAAAGACGAGAAGCTTTAAGAAAAATGGAGTGGTCAACTGCACAAATGTCTTAGAGAAGCTAAATAATTAAAAGACTGAACATTACTTGCAGAATTTAGCAGCACAGAGGTATTGGTAGTCTTGTCTAAAAGCAGCATGGTCAGGTGGGAACAAGGGGATGGTGGGGGCAAAAAACAAGATTGAGTGGCCGCGTGGAAAATGATGAGAAGATTTAAACTAGGAAACGGACTTTTAATACAGCACTGAGAAATGGTCAAGTCTGGAGATTATCGGTTTACAGCAACATTTGTCATAGACTTGTGAGAATTTTATCCATTGGCTCTTAGCCCAGAGTAGCCTAAAGATGACCAGTTGAATCACTTGAAAATTAGCTCTTGACTGATGGAATGGATGGGGGGAAAGGAATGGGAAAAAAACGCAGGGCCAGAAAGTTGAGGATTTTGGCCAATTCCTGGATATAACCATGAACCATGGGCTTGAACAGAGAATGGAGTAGGCAAGTAAGAAGATGCTGGATACAGAAAAAATGGAGGGACCCAAGGATGGGAGGCATCAAAGAGGCAGGAGTTGTGAGGATTGATGATGATCATAGTGCCTTGATGTTACAAGTTCCAAAGTAAAGTTTTCCAAATTCTAAGGGTGTGAGTGATTTTAGTGGGAGTGGAAGTAAACATCATTGGAACTAAGGAGGAAAACTGAGATAGCAGAGTACTGACTGGATTTCTCCTAGGAACACAGTGGTGCCTAGAGAGGAAGAGGAAATATGAGAACCAGTTGCCTCACCTCCAACAAATGGGCAAGACTGAACAGAAGTTGGAAGATGACAACAGAAAGGATGAGGTGACCAGGTGCTAATGCTGTGACCATGAGATTAGTCAGTACAAGTGTTATCATTGTAATGGAACTGACTTAGAAAAACACTATGGACAATGTGTGGTCTCACAATAATTGTCCTTCTTGTTTTCCAGTGTATGATTTTTTTACTTCAACTTTTTTTAAAAAAATACATTTTTGAATACATTGGAATTATCTTAATAGATTAATTTCTGATCTAATGGATATTAGTGAATGGGTTACTATAAGAACAAAAGCAGCAATAAATAAAAAAATCTCATCTTCACTGTCTTAGGCATCATGAAGGACTTTTTTTTTTAATAGGCTTGCCCTTAAAACATTTACATTATAGTAAAAAAGCATACTTATAAAAATAATGATAACAAAATATTATCACTTTATACAGCATGAGGCAACTGGATAATTTAGGAAACTGAGCACCATTTATTGGGGGGAAAATATTCAAAAAGGAGACTAAAAATCATCTTTTAATTCCATCTACAACCTGCCTTCCCCTAGGGGGATTTCCTTCGAAAGATATGGAGGCTCCTATAGTTGCAAGACCCTATTGAGGCCTTTTGGGGGGCCCAAAGTAAATTCAGTCCCATGACTGCCCCTTAATGCCTATTTCCAATCCTATATGGATCTCTTTTTAGTATGATCTGGGTCTAGACTAAACATACTTGGTGACCAGAGTGAATATTCTACATATATGCTTATCCAGATATGTTGCATCAGAAAGCAAATTTATTCAACACTATAAAAGGAATGGATACAATGTGTACAGTGGATGTGAGTCACATGCCACCAGCTACCAAGTACATGGCCTTGATGGCTATAAGTCCCATTTCTTCATCTATGAAATGGGGATAACAGAATAATTAACTCATTACCAGACGTGGGAATTGAATGAGGTGATGTGAAGTACTCTGCATATTACCTGGCACCTAGCAAGGAAGGGCCTTAAGAATGATAACCATCATTACTCTAGAAGACAGTATAGATAGTTGAAGAAGAAGGCAGGAGCCACAGATGGGTTCAAATCCAAGCAGTACCGCCATAGTCAAATATATGAGTTTGTTTATGCCACAGAAAAATAAAAGTATGTAACTGGCTATATGGATGTGACAATGATAATTAAATGAGAATGGCAGGCTCTCAGGGGTATATAAGAACATTTTAATATTTCTCTTGCATCCCTTTGGATCATTGTTATGAAGAGGATCCTTATTGGTCAGACCCCACTTTCTCACCTTTAAGATTGGGAGGGTAAGATTTGACAACCTTTAAGGTAACTTAACCTCTAAGTCCTTAACAAACATATCAGAGATATGAAAAATACCTACCGTCTCATAGTTTTATGGACATTTTGCATTATCAAAATAAATAAATTAAAGGATGATTTTGTAAATTTTTTTATTTCCTCTGTAGCCCCTCTTAGTGAAAGTCCCTTCTTTGATTTGATATTTTATCTTTTAATATTATCCAGAGTTTATTCTTTTTCCCTGCTTTCTCCAAAATGTAGTAATTATTGAAAAAAGTTAATTCTGTTTCCAGTTCTATTTACAACTGCAATAAAGCCTCTTTAAATATGGAATTAAATTTTGGAAACTCATCATTAAGAAAAATCGATTTGGGGCTTCAAAACATGACTAAGTTCTGCAAAGGAAGACGGTGATCATTTATTTTCTGTCACCTCCAAAGTTAACTGAGGGGTTAAGAAAAAAATCAACATTTTTTCCCCCCTGACAAGCAGACAGGCAATTCACAGACAAAACTGCAGAGCAGGGGATAAAAAGAGAAAAAAAATCTTGAAATAGCTGAATTTCCAATCTCCTCCCACTAGTCTCAGTGAAGGATGACTTCAGTCCCTTTCTTAACTAATTCTGTCACTGTAAAATCCTACAGTCATTCTTCCACACATAAAGGACAAATAAGCTCAAGAGGAGGATCTAGATGCTTTCAGTTTTAACTATTCACCAATAGTGGAAAAGGCAGAATGCCTAAGCTATGTCTTTGTGGCCAATAGGGTGGCTGAGTATCTCTCACATGACTCCCTGCCCCTGTCTTTCACATGGGCTGTAATTTAGTTCAATTCAGAACTGCAGATAGTACGGCTTCCACAGGAGCAAGGGATGCCTGAGCAGAAGTGGCTGAGTTCCGAGGGACTTTATGAAGCGCTTCTCTGCCCTTCCCCCGGCATGAAAAAACAGGGATTCTGCACCTGCATCAGGGACAGTCTGGTCAAAGGCTCTGCTCTGCCTCCGGGGACAAGGAACTAGAGCAAATAACCATTTTGAAATTGTAAGTATACATTTCTTTCTGTCAAGTGGACTGGTTAAAATAGTTTTCTGTCATATGCATCCGATATTCGAAGATTTGTGAGGGTCCTCTTTCCTGTGTGGATCGCGAGGCATTCGACGGGCAAGAAAATATTCGAGGGGGCAATTGTTGCATGTTTTTTATTATGTTAGAGAGAAAGAATGAAAAATAAAAGTCAGGCATTCCAAAGAGTAGCTGCAGGAGGCTGCACACCGGAACATTGCTCCAGTGTGCTGCTTTGTTCAAAAGAAAAAATGAAGGCACACACATATGTACTTAGTTCACTTCTTTTTTGCTCTTTATGTCTAATCAGATTTGATCTGTCCCCAGGAAAAATAAAAGACAAACTTTGCTGACTCCACTGACAAGGGCACCGGTGGACTTTCCGGACATCTGACAGTTATTATAATTAGCTATGAAAGACTGCTAAGACACTTGGAGGCAAATCGCTCTTAAATTCTGAACAATGGCTTCAAGCCAGGGCTTTCTTTTGATTTTGTTTTTTGAACCACCACTTTTAATTTTATAATCATGATAGGAACTCAACTGGTTTCAGTGTTTCTGTCCACAAAATGTGAAAAGAAGTCTCCGCACCAAGTGAAGGAGACTGAAAGTGGCCAGTGTAAAGATAGAAAAGACAGCTTTCTGTCTTCGGATCCATCCTTCCATGTATAAAGATTTTTTTTTTTTTTTTTAATTCCTAATAGGGTGGAGTGAGGATATGGGGGTGGGGAGGAAGCATGCGGAAGCTTCTTTATAGAAGAATGCTTGAAGACTAAAATAATTTGGGATTTCTTCATGCTAGCAGGCAAAAGATACGGTTAGCATCTAAGTTGCATTCATGGTAAGATTTTTTTTTTTTTGACGGAGTTTCAAACAGAAGCAACATACAAAGCAGTTTTTTGAAAAAAAAATACAATAATTGGAAACAAATGGGGGGTGAATGTTCATGTATTCCCTGCTTTCTCTTTCTATTCGGCTGGGGTAATCTAGCAATGCATTATGCTTTTACTTCTAGAATCATCCAAATCCTTAAAAAGTTATAAGTCAAGTCTCATAAGAAATTAAAAGGCAAATGTAATCAATGTGATTGTGACTGATGAAGACTTTGAACGACAAAGCTTCCAACAAAAAGAGTTTATAAGAGCCCATTGCCCTCCCCATTTTTAAAAGAGAATATTAACTCCATCAATTATTGAAAGGAATTATTCAAAGGCTCCAGACATAACTAATTATGGCTTAGGGAGCTGCCAGAGCAGAGCTTGTGTTCTAATTATAAAAGTCCACGACGTTAGGAATCGTTTTTTAAGGAGAACTTGGACACAAATTTTCATATAATCTTTTTAAAAATACACCATTTTTTTTTCTTTGTCTGCTCTCATGCTATCTACACCTCCCCCATCGCCGCCCACTGTGTGCTGAGACACCTGAAGGCTAGACATAATGATCAACAGAGCTCCAGCCTGTCTGGACTCCAGCCAGGTTTTTTTCCCTCTTCTACAATCAAGGAGCTTGCACGCAATGCATGCCGAGCCTCTTCCACTGCTATGTGCAGATCCGGGATGGAAGTCTTACACATACTGCGGAAAGATTAAAGACAACAATATCCCCTTTCTCTTACCCTAGACAGACTCAGTTTTTAACCCTTTCGTTACCTTTAAGACCAAGATGTCTTATGCACTCAAAGGCAGGTCTCAGGGGATCCTGCAACTCCTGCACCATATTATACAGAGACATATGCCTCATGTCGTGTAGAAATTTCCTCTCTACAGATCCCATCAGGGTATTTTAGGATTAACAGTGTGTTTACTAAACAAAACATAATTTGCTTGTACGGGGAATGCATTTTTGAAGGAACTTAAGCAGTGTGAAATCTGGGAAGAGTCAAAGGTCTGTGGAAAGGTTCCTGCAGAGCTTGCAGCAGGCTCTATACCATTTTTGATGATGCTGTTCTGCCAAAAGCTCTCTCTCTCTCCCTCTGTCTCTCTCTCATTCCCTCTCACACATACACTCAAGACATAAGCACCAGCCAGGCAAGTGTATCATTATATCACAGAGAAACCCAGGTTGGCTGGATGATGTCATCACATATAAAATTTTGCTTTTGTGGGCAACATTTTCAATCACCTAATCACCAGCGTCTGTTGGGTGTGGACCTATAGGAAGTTCATGTGTTTGTGGGGTTAACCGACACCCACAGGAAAGGACTATTTTATTTGTAGCTCTCTGACTCTTGAAGATGTGTTCATGGGGCAAAATGGGTATGTTTATCAAGATATATGTAGTCGGACAGAGTTTCCTGGTTTTAGGAGGTCTTATTAATATGCAGGTTGATCATTTCAGAGGTGGCTGAATTTCAATATGAATAGAACGTGGAAAGGGTGAGCATTGTAAAATCATTTGGATAAAAATGATACAATAACTGATTTTTATTATGACTTGGTATTTCTTCTTTGCTGTTAAAATTTTTGAAACCATTAAATCATATTTACTATTAGTTTCTGAGGAAAGAATGATTTTATACAAATGATTGAGAAGTAATGCTCATTTCTTGTGCTGTTCCAGGGGTATATCTCTGGATCTGATGATAGTTGGATTAAAATTTTGTGCACTTGTACAGCGTATAATTTTTTAAGCCTATTTTATGGGTCTTACATTCAATAATCACTCACCAGACAAGAGGTCAGATTTTTATTCTTGTACATGTTTAAGTACACTTTTTTTTCATTTTTCTTAAATCAAATAGAAGAAAGTTTAATACTTTAACCACAACATATTGCTGAATTTGAGTTCTAAATATAGAACAATTTTATATCCATACTGCCTCTTAACTACCAAGTTCTGAAATGTAATTTAAGTTAATCTTCATTAACACAGAATGACTGGTAGTAGTATTTCTTATATACCAAGTATTGTATACTCAATTTTTCAAGTTTAGGAATTTGCTCTCAATGCTTCTTCATTTTTGCATACTAAAAAAGGATTCATTGGAAAGAGTTTCAAAGTCTATTTCTATGAACAACACTATTTACTTGTCAACACAAAACCTAATGAGATTCATTGTGCCGATGTATTATTTCATTGTTTTAAAACAAGTTTAAAAATATTTTGCTTTCATATTACTATTGTTGGTAAAAGTACAAAACTTCAAGAATTGACATATTTTATACTTAGAAAAAAACAAGTAACACAAGTTAGGTGACATTTCTATAGAGAAATACAGCACTGTGAACTGATAAATAACTTTTTTGAGAAATTCTTAGACCTAACTAATTTTTACACAAACAGTTCTTGCAAACATACAGTGCAGTTTTGGCCCTGATGATGAATTATGTAATTTCTTCATCAAAGATAAAAAATTGATAAATATTTGGGTTTGAATTTCACCTACTTTCTAAAAAACAATGCATGACACTACCCAGTGGGGATACAGGTTACTAAAAAGGCATCTTTCAAAGACAAGAAGATAATGGACTTGATTGAAATAGTTTAAATACGTAAGGCCAATTCAAGAACAAATGGTTTTTCAAAGCATAACAGAGAAAGAACAATTTACTATAGTACAGTTTATTCTTCTTACACAATGGTAATGATTTATTTGAAATGGCAGAACAAACAGGAGATGTACCAACACAACCAAGGGATATCTTATGTCAGTAATAAACCAAGATTCTGTGTTTCATAGAATATTCTTAATCTAATTATGTAACTGAAGACTTAGCTAGAACCTGTACTCTTTAGCATATGCTGAGTTGTGATCATGTTTGTCTTACACATGCATGTATTCTGCTTATAATATATAATTAATTTGAATATAACTTTATCACCCAAAGTAATTGTTGGCACTATATTATGACAAGAGTTTCCAAAATATTTTAGAATATTAACATATTTTAATACAATGAAATGTGAATAGTGATATCAAAAAGCTATGTTTCTACTAACAGAGGGATATGCCCTGATATTGGGTAAATTAACGTACTGATGTTGTAATTATTGCAGATGCCTCGCATCAAAAATGTTTTGATCATATCCAAAGGTATGACTCTGCTTTGGCAAACAATACAAAATGTCATTATAAAAAACATCTCTCTTGTTTCTTACTGTGATGATGATTTCTAGAAGTAGACTCAATAGTCATAGTCCTTTATGAGAAGAGAAATTTTTTTTTTTAAAGCTCAGCCTTGAGATATAGAGCCTGATATTATTGTGGACTGTGCACTATGCAGAGAAGCATGCACAGGAACCTCAAGTTGCAATAAGAAAAGAAGGGAAACTGGTCTAGCTGCTTCATGCTTCAAATTTTATTCCTCCAAGCCAACATGTAGACAACACTCAAAATTAATCTGAGTGAAAATGATCACATTTATTTTCACAATTTTCAAAAGAACCATGGTCCTATAGGTACCCCACGGCGGAAAAGAGGTCAGAAAGTGATTGAATGTCCCACTGCCTGAAACCCAGGCAAACTCAGTGAGGCACTGGGGTCAAATGGGCTCATGAATCACAGATAGGAAATGAACTGTATATTGCATATTTAGAGGTTTAAAAAGAAACATTTGGGATATTTTACCGTAAACAGATTTAGGGTTGATTTTTGGCACATCTTTTAAAACAGCAAGCCTGCAGTTCAGCTGAAATAACTTTTTATATGTATAGCTAAGACCAGATGGCCACGTGCTCCTTTCTTATTTAGATGAGACTTTTCCTTTCAATAACATCTTTCTTCCTGACCTGCTTAAAAATTCCAGCGAATGAAATCAGCACAGGATTTTCAATTCTAATTGACCATGTGCAGAGGAAGGGCCAGTGGAGAAATCAGTGGAGGCATTGTGAGGCTCACTGCCTCAGTTTTGTCTTTGTGCTTTACTCTTAATAGCCAATATAAACTAGTTGAAAATATTTATTTTTTAGTAATATTAATATAGATGCAGGATTCATCTTCAATGGAAATTGAATGAGCTGTTTCTGTCATGGTGTCA